GGTCAGAACAAGATCACAATGGACAAACTTTTCTGTCTCCTTATGTTAGATCAGTTCCTTCTGAGTTCTCTACTTGCTAGTGCTAAATTTTCTGCCAGGGCAGTAATCTATTTTTAATATTTGGGGGACTTATCCCTTGTTCCAAATCTAACAGGCATATACTGTGGAGTGAAAGAAAGTTGACTGGGTGCACTTACAAATCAGGATCATCGGGATTTGCAATTTGTGTGGAATCAAAGCTATGAATGAGAAAGACCAATTAGAATACTTAAAAGATCATTTGTCACTGCTTTAATCTTCATGTATTTTTTACTCATCATTTTCTTTGACTAAAATTATTAGACTCTTTGACATATTCATCTCAAGGCCAAATGGGAACAGTGATGTTCATTTTCTACTTTCAATATTTTGGAGCATTTTAACATGTCATACTAGATTATAGGTGGTAGGCAACTGTTTAAATAGAAGAAGTTTTAGCTTGTGGCATATTCAGCATCATATCATCTCAGTGTCATTTCTCTGCCTAATTCCATATTTCACGTACAAATGAAGACTGAGGGATTTATTTCTGTTACTTAATAGCATTTGTTTAATTCAGAGATTAATATATCATCTTCAAACCTGAAACAGAGGCCCTCAGAAACATCAGACCCAAAAAATTGGACACGGCCTACTAGCCCAAAAAGAACATGTTGCCAATTATCTCCATGTTTATTTAAATATTTTGCTCTAAAGGAAGCAATCATTCCTTTATACTTCTTTAAATTTAGTATTGACATTTTTATTTTGGGAAAGGAGGTCTTTTTTTTTTTTCTTTTTTTTTTCTTTTTTTTTTTTTTTTAACATGGATACAGGAAAAGAAAACTCTCCAATAAAAATATTGTCTAAAAAGTTTGTTTTGTCTGCATGATTTACTAAATATGTACAATTTCAATTCACAGCGAAGGTAACAAAGATTTAAACAGCCAACATCACAAATGTCTCAAGTTCTAAAAAAAAAATCACTGTGCACAGTTTAACAATTTAATTGAATAAAAACCAAAGCTAAGTCTTCAGTCTGAATCTTTTTTTATGATGGGCACAAGCCATGTATTTTCTTCATCTTTGTTACACGATGCATATTTCAGTGACTAAAAGCCCCTTCCCATTTTAGTATATTAGGTTATGTCAGTACATACTTAAGAGAGGCATAAATAGCCTCTTGGTACACCGATATGATCCGTGATGTGTTCATACATATGTTGTCATATTTATTAATATATAAAATGATCAGATGAATCACTTGTGATTTTGTTTAATGTCTTCAAGTGTAGGAATGTTTTGTTGCATGTATACATTTTTTAATTTATGGGAGTGCTTATTTAAGTGATAATATTGTAATTTGACGAGTGTCCCTTTGATATAAGGTGTCTGGAAAGAACTATTCTGCTCTTGAAATATAGAAACTTCACATCTCTACCCAATGCAGATTTGTAAAGTTTGTTATTATATAAATCTGAATGTTGTGGTCATTCTGATATAATGATCCAGTGAGTAAACCAATTAATCATTAGAAACAAATTTCACTGAGTACAGAATAGTTGAGTTACAATGAAAGAGGGAGTCATAACTTCAGTTACCCTATAAAGTCTATAATAAGGTTGTTTCACATATATTTTTTTCTCATGTAAATTCTTTGGTGTTTCTCCCCCTCTTTTTTTAGTGCTGTGATTGATGAACATGTGAGGTGAGATGCAAATAACTGCATTGAGCATGTTTATTTGAATAATTGCCCCATTGCACAATCAAATAAATCTGCTGAGTATGTTTGTTTGAATGTTTTTACATGGACATGGGATCACATACTCAAATAAATGCAGCTGTGTTTATTACAGTATATGGGGTTGGGGTTCCAGGCATACACATACTTGTTTGTGTGTATATCCTGGGCCCTACAGCCCCTGAATGGCCTCACACATTTTGGAGTAAACACATGGTTAATAATTTTCAGTTCAAATACATGAAAACTTATTGGGCAATCTCCTCAAATTTGTGACTAAGATTTACTTTTATTAAGGCTTATATCCCTACAAGGATTTTTTTAAATGACTGTTTTGAAAGTTATCTGATTGTGAAAAGTACCTAATAAATGTATTCATATTTATTCAAATATTGTCCCTTCTTTCCTCTTTCCTACAAGCCCTCCCACTCCACCCCCGGTCCAATTCATGCTAAAGATGTAAGTTTAGTTCTTGCTGAGAAATTCTGATACTCATCTCTCTTCCCAGTTATCTCAGGCCTAAACCTACAGTGTCATATGAAAAAAGAAAAGACTACACAGATCTTCTAGAACACAAAAGGCCTTTTGAGAAAATGGGCAAGGATGTTCAGTTGTTCCAATGTTTCATCACCCTCCCCTATCCCTCATTCTAGAGAAAAGAAAGGGGTGTAGACTCAGGACTAAGGATGTGGGAAGAGTATTTGATAAAGGAAAAGGGAAGAATACATCTGATGTTACTAAAATGCATGTCTCTTGATTATGGAGAGGGGTTTCTTTTTTATGACCTTGGAAAGGAATCTTGGCATAAACAAATCGTTTTTATTCTTCCCCAGAGTTGGGAGATTATGCACTTCTAATGTGCAGTAGTGTTAGCAG